TGTCCTGAGCCAAAGGCAGGCGCTTAATGACAGCCACCCTGGCGCCCCTCCACTTCAGACAGTCTTAATCATGCCTCAAAATGAGGTTCTTTTGATTTTTTTGAGTAATTTATATATATTTTTAATAGTGTTTGCTGTGGTGTTAAATATACGTAAAAGTAGCTGTTATTTCTCTTTGAGATAAACAGTAGGCAGTGAGTTTACTAATACGGTTAGATAAAAAACAACAATAAAAAGCTTCTTAACAATACTTCATATCTTCCTTATAGTCACAGTGGCATGCTGGTTCCTCTGTGCTTTTGTTACAGACTTTTAACTTCTGTTATTTCTAAATGGAGAGGTTATTCTTGAGTTAAAGGAGGATTTTTAGACAGTCATTGACCTTGTTCAGTTTGTGTCATCTTGTTAACATCTCTACGAGCCTCATAGTTAAAAACTGTTGTAGTTCTTACTTTTCCTCAGCTCTAAATCTTAAGAAACCCAAATCAAATGGCTAAAGTATGAGATTTATCATTCATATAAAATTAGAGTATCAGTGTCAGATACCTCCTAAATATTTAAACATGCTTGAAGTGGCCTTTTGGTTTTGGGATGCTCATGCCACATTTGGATGGGGTCATTGTTACACTATAACATTTGTTCCTCTCAAGGTGAATTGGTTTGAGGAGTAACTTCAGAAGACTTAGAAGATGTAACCACAAGGTGTTGCTTACAAGGTACAAACCTTTGTTTGAGAGATTGGGTACTAGCGCACACATATTGTTTTAGGATATGCCTAAGGCTTTTAAACAATTATATTCTATATTTAACACCTTCAATAGAAAGTGGTTATTCTGTTGTATATCATCTTTCTATTGCTGTATAAGGAGTCTTTTGTTTATATATTTAAGATTTAATTCTGTTTTCTGATTATAATAGGAAATTTATGTTCCCTGAGTAAATTTTAATTGTAATAGAGGATCCCAGGAGTCCTCTGGTAGGAGATGGGGCCTCCTGGAGCTAAGCTGTTCCCATTGTTCTGTTGTTGTACCTGCAAGACAGTAGTGTATTTTAGGAGTCAGTTTTGTTGTAATTGGTATGAGACTCACTGTATCATGTGTTCTGGGAAATTTAGTATTGGGTAGAGTGGTGATTTTTTTGTTTTGTTTTTAATGAGGCAGATTTATTGATTTCCAGCTTTTCATGAGGATTTTGGCCTGTTGGGAGCAGTGCTTATAATGCTCAATTGCTAAGATCCAAAATTATACAGTTTCTAGTAGCAGATATTAAATTGTTTGAACATCACAGAATCGATTATTTTACATTTTTGTTTTCCATATGTTTTTGCTTTAGGATAAGTTTCAAAATCTAAGGTTACCAAAGTTTTTTGGAAATAGCTCTTTAGCTATTAATGTGAATGATTGAGGCCTGAAAACTGTAACAGATTATCATTTATTCTCTTATTTCTTACTGCTTTGGAGCTGATCTTTTTACATTATATTTTCAGAAACATATGCTTCTTGGGGGGGGCAGTAGTATATGAAGTTAAGTCTTTCAGCTGTATTAGGAAGGTTGTAAAATATAGCAGAGGCAGTACGAGGCAAGTGAGGAGTTCTGGCTACTTAAAGCTTTATGATATTGGATAAGTTAAACTCTTAGTTTTACTTTCCTCATTTGCATAGTAATGTAATAATGTCTTCCTGCATTTATTATGAGAGTAGATGAAACAATGAATTGGATGGTTCTTTATACAGTGAAATTTTATACAGCTGTTTTATTGCTAAGTCGACAAATTACAATGCCAAATGGTGACATGCTTTTCCTTGGCACAGTAGCTGCTGTCTGTCCCATGTGCTAATGCTCATGCCAAGTCATTCCCAGTGTTATCTTGCCATTCTTTACAGCTCTGCTATTTCAGATCTATGATGAAGCAGTCTGAAGAGCTTGATAATTTCTGAATAAAAATTCCAGAATGCTTGAGGTAGAAAGCCTGAGAACTATTGTTCCTAGTATACTTAGGGATTTCATATTAGTAGAGAATATAGCCTTTAAGAGTTCTCAGCAGTTTCTGAACTGCTCAAAAGAGAATAGAATAAATCTTTAATTTCTGTTAAGATAGTAAGTCTACCTTTTTTACTAGATGTACAAGAGGGTGAAAGAATTGGTCCTTAGCCAAATATCTTCGCAATTTAAAATTAAGAGGCCTTCTCGGGTCATGATCCCAGGGTCCTGGGATCGAGTCCCACATCGGGCTCCCTGCTCCTTGGGAGCTGCTTCTCCCTCTGCTTCTCTCTCTCTCTCTCCCCCTCTGTCTCTCATGAATAAATAAATAAAATCTTTAAAAAAAAATTAAGAGGCCTTAAGGGCATTTTCTAGTGATAGCATCTGTAGGACCTGTTTATCTTTCTACTCCACTTTAATATTTTTGCAGAATTATTTTATTTATGCATTATAATTTACATATGAGGAAAAGCACAATTAGATGTTCCCTGGGTTTAGTAGTTGAGGATGAAGAGATTTTAAATCTCAGGGTTCTGATGGTATCCATCAGATATGGTATGCCTTTCATAGCTGGTTCTTCAAGTTCTGTTTCTGAAATGCTGTGGTTTCTTTAGAAATGCATCCTGGGGAGGCAAGTGGAGAAAGTCATTACACATGCTTATATTGTTTAAGTTCTCTTATAGAAGCAAGTACAAAGCTGTGGCTGCTGTTTTCTTTATTGAAATGTGGTTATGCAGTAGAAAAGTGTAATTTTTGTTGATACCTTAGCTTTTGTTTTCAATTAAAATTGTGAAATGCAACAGCCATTCTTAAAATCTGTTATTTTAATTAAAAAATAATGATGCTCTGTTTTGTGAATTAGACCTTTAGATTTTACAAGCAACTTGTTCAGTGGAATTATTAATAGTTCTTGAAATATATAAGTTTTGGTGATATGGTGGATGATCTAGGGAAGAGTCAGACTGTTGAAATCAATTCTGTTTTTTATTTTCTTTGGGCAATTGGATGATAAAATGTATTCAATACCTTGGATTTTATTCTTTCTGAATCCAGCCTTTCTAGATCTCCTCATTTAAAGTTCAGAAGACTGTGATTCTGTCTTTAGAGGAATGTTATAATACAAGTAGAGATATGTTTATTTTACAAATGAAGAAGAAAATAACTTATAGTAAGGTTTATAGTCAACCTGAAAGGATGTAATTAACATTAACATGCTCAGAAATGAAAGCAAATGGACTATTTGGGGAGTTGAGCACAACGATTTAGAACTGAGATTCGATTAAACTAGGTTTTGCAAATATATTTGAGATTTATTTTACTAGGAAATGAAATGTGAAGAAATCATTTGAAAGCATTGAGAACTGCTATATATGTGTGTGGGCTTCTGCTGGGATTTGCATGCATTTCAAGTACATATAATACTGTTAGGAATAAAAAGGGTGGTGTTGACAAGATTTGGGTTATCTTTCTATAAGTGGTGTTGGATTTGTGCTGTCAGACCTGTTGGGTGATATACCTTGGAACCAAAAACATACATATTTAAGGTAGTTAACCATGCTATAATGTATAATATAGACTGCCTGTAATTCAGCTAGCTCTTAAGTAGGAGTCTTTCATTGCTTTTGTGTCTGTCATGAAGGCTACCTTATAAAAAGGAGAATTAATCAGTCACAGATACTGCTTATTGGTTTTTGTCTATGTTAGTACCTCTGTGAACTAAAATAGCTATACACGTCGGGTAAATATGCCAGTAACATTTGGACATTCATTTACCTGGTAATTTCATATTGGGGAAAAACTCAAACCATTGGAAAATGAGATTATTATATTTTTCATTCTTTTATATGTGAGTTACAAATGAATACTTCATAATCTAGGCTTGGTATCTAGAGTTAAAAATACATTATTTTTTCATTTATTAGATTAGTGTGAATTCAGTTAGCATGATGAAAATAATATAATGGAATAGTAGAAGAGGAAAAAAAGGAAAAAGTGCAGTTTAGTCAGTGAGCCTAAGGACATATATGTACAGAGAATTGGTTTTAGATTTCTCGGGGAAGAGAGAAGAAGCACAAATCATAATTGCTACTTCACAGTGCTTGGACTCACTAGAATCTGTATGTATTCTGAAATCACTGAAAGAACAATTTAAAGCTCTTTAGAATCAGGTTTTAGTTAGCATAGTATGGTTTAGAATAGTTTAAGAATTTGGAGAAAAAGATGATTGTGAACTCTGCCTAGTCAAGTAGGATGTGGTTCTTGGGCTTGAATTGAGGAGTCTCTGGATTGTTACTGGAAGGGGAGGAAAGGTACAGAAGGTAAGGCAAGAGCCATTGAGTGGGCAGAGACCACAGAATGTCCGTGAGCTACTTATGAATGAGGCTCAGTTCAGAATGGATTTGGTTTTTCTTTTATGTTTTACATCTCTTACCCCAAATTAACATTCCATATTCCTTTTCTCCATCTGACCTTTCTCTGAGAGGTATTCTATTTTCTTAAAAAGAAATAAGATGGCAGAGAAGCAAAAACTCAAAGCCTTCCCTTTCTAAAGGCAGAGTGGTCTGAATAGAGTCAACATATTTAGATATTTTCAGTTGCACCTATTTTATTTTCAAGTATAATAAGGAAGCCTTGAGAAAAGAACTAGGGCCTTTAGAGTTGGGTAAGGATTCACACCCTGGTGGGTCCACCGTTCGACTTTTGACTTTGGGCAAATTTAACATGCTTTCCATTAATTTTGTATGGGAACAGTACTATATTACCTAATGGGATTGTTGTTTTCATTAAATGAAGTCATATATATAAACTAAACATGATGCTTGGTCTACACAATGAGTAAATGGTGGTTAAAAAAATTACTTATAATTGAAACAAATAGTTGGAGTAATTCTATATGATAAACTAAGATGAGCATTTAAAAATAATTTGTAGTAAAGAATGCAGTTTACTTTTTATACTTCAGCAATTTTCTCTGTTTAATTCTTTACAGTTCTCATTTTTCTATCTCTTCTTTCTTTTAGGAGACAAGGATGGCAGCAAGGTGACTACAGTGGTGGCAACTCCTGGGCAGGGTCCAGATAGGCCACAAGAAGTCAGCTATACAGACACTAAAGTGATTGGAAATGGGTCATTTGGTGTGGTATATCAAGCCAAACTTTGTGATTCAGGAGAACTGGTTGCCATTAAGAAGGTATTGCAGGACAAGAGATTTAAGGTAAGACTTGGTATTTCATGTATTTTGTTGCTATCAATAGATGTAAATGAGTATTGTTTCATTCATTTCTCTTTGCTTCAGATTTGCTTCAAATTTCATTTACTGTGCAAATTTATTATAGAGACTTTATTTTCTGCTTTGTATTTTGTAGAGATAAAATTCACTAAAGATTGCAATATTTTTGAACCACTGCTGAGTGATATGTGATTTTAAAATGTTGTGAAAGTAGTTTAAAATTTCTTAATTTTTACTTTTAAAAAGTGACCTGGATCTCATTGGTATAGGAGACCAGAGAAACACTACCTGTGGTATTTGATCGTTTGAACAATTGACTATCCTTCCTTTCTTAAAATTTCCTTTGAATCTGTGATGGAACACTATCATTTATTTTTTCCTAAATACCTCTGACTTTCCTTTGCAATTTTCTTATGTCTTCCATCCATCTACCCCTAGAAACCAGCCATCCCCACAGTTTAGTTTATTTTCATTTCTTACACTAGCTCTTTAGGGGATCCTATACATGAATGTTCAGAGGTCATCTCTATTTTATGGTATATAGTGGAAAGTCAGGAGACCTGGGCTCTAATGTAGGCTCTGCCATTAACAAGCCAAACAGCTCTGTTCCATTCTCTACATTTCCTACCTGTGCAACATTTTACTGAGAGTCTCCCCTGTGCTAGCAAACATGCCAAACTTGAAGGGCTATAAAAATAAATGAGATAATCACTCCTCTGAAACAGCACACAGTCTATTAGCTCTGTTCTCTAGAATGTCTCAAACATTCTAAAGAGGTTTTTTTTTTTAGAAAAGAAAATTCTTATACCTTTTTTCTTCAGTTCTCACTCTCTCTCCTAAGTACTCGTCCCCTGTTGCCAAATGCCCATTGGATCTTGATTTGTTATCTCAGGTTGGCAAGGCTTCTTATCTAATCCTGACCCAATGCAAATCCTTTCCTTTTTGCTTTTTCCTTCTAATGATTCCTTCCCATTCCTTTTTGCTTTTTCCTTCTAATGATTCCTTCCCATTCCTTTTTGCTTTTTCCTTCTAATGATT